TGCAGAGTGCTACGCGCTCAGAGCCTCGGCGTTCCAGTCCGCCGGGAGAATCGCTGACGCGATTTCCGACTGTAATCGGACTCTGGCATTGGAACCTTCTTCCATTGAAGCTCTCAGAACCAGAGCTTCTCTGTTCGAGACGATCCGTTGTTTACCCGACAGCCTTCACGATCTGGAGCACCTAAAACTCCTGTACAACACGATGCTGCGCGACCGGACATTGCCGGGGCCGGCGTGGAAACGGCAGACCGTACAGTACAGAGAAATCCCGGGAAAGCTCTGTTCTTTGGCGGCGAAAATTCAAGAACTGAAACAGAGGGTGGCTTCCGGCGAGACGGGGAACGCGGATTACTATGGGTTGATGGGATTGAGGAGGGGATGTTCGAGAACGGTATTGGAGAGGGCCCATTTGTTGCTTAATCTCCGACACAAACCAGAGAAGGCGGCAAGCTTCGTGGAGAGGGTGGAGTTTTCCGACGAGGAAGAGGTCGATTCCGCCGGAGACAGAGCAAAGATGACGTCTTTATGTCTGTACAGAATGATTCAGAGAGCTTACTTCAATTTAACGAAGATTCTCATTCAAGAAGAGGAAGAATTAGCAGCAGCAGCAGCAGAGAGACAAAGGAGGGAATTAGAATCGGAGGAGACGGCTGCTAGGATCGACCAAGCGCCGCCGCAGCCGCCGGCAGCGGCGGTGTATCAAGGGGTGTTCTGTCGAGATATTGCCATTGTTGGGAGCTTGTTAGCTCAATCTGGGTTCGGCCGCCGCCCCATTCCGGTGACGTACGAGGCGTTGAGCTGCTGAGATTAGCAGTAATTAAGGTTAATAATGGGGGATGAAGAATTAATGATCATAATGAGAGATCAGAGATGAGAGAGGAGTTTTATGTACAAAGTTTATGAATGAATTAATGAGATGAACAATAATCAAATCTATTCATCTTTGAACCCGGGAAAATTTGAAAGTATAGAGTAGGGAGACAAACATCAACTTTGCTTCCAATTTTCTAACTCCCAAGTCCCAACATTGATATTCTATTTAATTTTCTTGTTTGTTGTTTTTACATCATTTAAGAAAGGTAAAATCATTTCGTAAAATATCTTCAAAATATATTTTTATCTGATTAATATATCATATAATTTTAACTAATTGGAATAAATTTTGATATGATCTGACGTAATTTGATTTGATATCAATAGGAATAAGTAATAAATAAATTGAAGAGAATGAATCATATTTTTATATGGAGTAACTTTTATATATTCATTTAAAGTTATATTAAAATTATGGTGAAATGTGGACTTAAAAGGTCAAATTAGAATAAATAAATGGGGATGGAGGGAGTATTTGGTTGGTGTGGTTCTGAATTTGCACTTGAAAATCAACATACATATAGCAATGATTGAAAATGATGTGCGATCTAGCTAGAAAGAAAAGAAACAGGTAAATGAAAATGGGGAAAAAGTTAAGTGGGAAAAAGCTAAGGAGGGATGATTTGGATAAGGGTAAGGCATGTGCAGACAAGAAAAAGAGTGGAAAAGGGTGTAAAGGTCGGCCATATAGGTGTAGATGAGAGGTAAAAATATATACAAGAGATGTGTTAGGGACTTGGGCTAAATGCAAGATAATTAGTGCAAATCATGATATAAACTTGTTGTATCAAGTCGGGATGTGACTTTAATTGTAAAAAGATCATAAATATTCCACACTGTGGTTATTCAAGTAATCGACTAATAGAGGATACAAAAGGGTATTGTGGTCATATTCGACTTCACTTACACACTTAGTGAAGAGAATGTGGAACTTGTTTGTCTATGTATGTGTCTTCTTTAACTTTTTTTTATGGGATTAGAGACTTCTTTCTATTGTTAACTTCGATGAAAATATTACTCGTATGTATTTATTTTATCTCAAGTAATTATCGGGATGGAAGAACCATAGAACAGGATTTATTTTTATTTTTATTTTTAATTTTTTTGGGAGGAGAAGGGATGTTGTTTGGTTGGGCATGTTCTGTGGATTTCATGTACTGTACCACCTGTATGCATGTCGAGCTGTCACCCCTTATCAACATCTCTTCCATTTTGTTAGGAACTTGCTTCAATTCTCAACCAAATCATTTTACATTTTTATAATAAAAAAAATATAATTCTGATTAAAAAAGGCATTTTGGATAATGTTTAAGACGAATGAGTGAAATAAGAAAAATATATAGAGTATGTATGATGATAATTCGTCATGATACGTATTGGGCAACTTTTATTTACTTTGAATGTTACAATGTAATTTGTATTGTTTATTTCTATGTTAATTTTTAATTAAAATAATTTTAAAAGTGATAAGAGTTTACATGTACATACAATATGTGACATTCATTTTAGGACAGAGGTAGTGCAAATTAATTGCCCGTCGTTTGGTAAGAAATTAGTCCCTAATCTATACCGTAAATATAGGCCATGTTTGGGAAGATCGTTTTCGATTAACGTTAGTAATTTCGATAAAATTTTAATCATCGGATAGCCTTTTCAAAACATTAACGCTAATCTCTAACGCCGATGTCAAACGGGACCATAATATTTTTGTACCTCATTTGTATAGTATTATTCCGTATAACTCTAATTAATGTTAAGAAAATCGTTCATTAATAATCACCTTACCATATATATAGTGGCCGGATAGGAAATATGCAAAGCAAAGCCAAGGGGGTTAGTGGTTATTAATAACGTAACGTAGGGAATATTAAAGCATTTATTTGGGAAAAGCGGTGGATAATATTTGAAATACATATATTAATGGACCTTTTTTTTTTGTGCATTACCTTATTTGTGTTATTTTTAATTGGGCGAGAAAAAGGGGACATTAAGCTTTTCCTACCCAAATCATGTGCAATTTGATCAACATTAAAGGCACGTTTGTTAGTGTGATTCCCTCCGCCATGTAAACCTTTTAATGGGGGCATAAAAGGACATTGAGATCGAACATGGCACATATAGTTAGTATGAGAGAAAATTTATCTATACAGCAGTAAAAGATAATGAATTTCTAATGTAGTATCACGTGTTTTAATTTTTTAATGTAGTACCACTGTTCAATGTTTACTGAACATTGTTCAAGTAAATGTCTACCGCTACTAGCCATTGTTCTTGTCATTAGACATTGTTCAAATCATGTCCGGGACCCTAATCACCATTATTAGGTTTCCGACATTCCGTTTATTTGAAGTATTACTTCCTTCCTCTTGCAGTTCGGTTCTTGTTTTGACTTTTAAGAAATGAAGTTGTAGAAGTTTGATCGAGGTGAAACGATAACGATTAAAATCCACATGGTTTAGAAAATGTCCAATTGAATAAGTTGAAGTAGGAACGTTTATGTCAATTTTGGCAAGATTGAAGCAAGTAATAAAGAGTGCAAGTGGAAATGTATTAGTGTATGTGAAATGGATCGAGCTCAGAATTAATATTACATCCGTTTTGGAATACAATTTAATTTTGTAGGGCTCAGAATTTAAGATACATCGTTCTGGAGTATTTGTCCAGTATTGGTTTTTTCAGTCAATCATTTTCAACATTTGATTTATAATTAAATAAAATATATATTGTATATGAATTAGATAAAACAATATCTTAAAAATATTTTACATAATAAATCTGAAAAAACTAATTTTGTACCAGTATATAATATCCTTTTTATTTAATTTGATGTCAAAATTTACCTATTTTGACCCAAAAAAATTAAAAATAGACAAATATTTCGAGACGAAAGGAGTAATCAGTGATCATGAGTGTATGGGAATGGGATGAATGCATGACGACGGTGATGACGCAAAAAAAAACACAGTTTCAGACGCCTTCCCAATCTGACACACACTGCATACGTACATGATCTCCACCGCTCCGTGGGAAGAAGGAAAAAAAAAAGAAAAATAGTTCGTTTCTATAATTAACGTTATTACTTCCTTGTATTAGAAGTTAAGCTTTTGTTTTGACTTGCGTATCTATAATGATAATAATGTATGATGAGTCTACTTCAATTCTTGCCTTTATACTTAATTTTTTTTTCTATTTTATACTCTCCTGTAGAACTTTCCTCATCAACTATATCAAATTTTTTGAACCAAATAAATTTTAATCATCAACTATATTAAGTTTACGTTGTACGTAAATACATTTAAATAAAATTGAAATACTTTTCAACAAAATAAATATAGTGTAATCATTTTTATTAATATTTATTTTGATAATTAAAATCCATCTATTTTAACTAAAAGAATTCAAAGCCGACGAAAACCTGAAAGCGAGTGTAAAAAAATCATAAATTATTACTCCCTCCGTCCCAAATTATAATGCTTGTTTACTATTCACAGGGTCAAACTTCATTTACTTTCTTTCTCTATTTTCGTTAGCAATTTGATAAAATAAAATATTATTGTCACTACTAGTTTTGTAGATCTTTTGATGTAGTTTTTTAATATGTAATTTTTATTTTTTAATTCTATACCATTTGTCATATAAAATGGTTTAGAAATAATTTCAGTCAAACATCGTAAATCGAAACAGGCGTTATAAAATGGGACGGAGGTAGTATCTTTAAAAATATGTAGGCAAAAATCAAAAGCTTAACTTCTAATACAAGTAATAATATTGTTGACAAAAAACAAGCTGAAGAATGAAATAATTTTTTAAAGATTCTCTACCACACCAATTTAATAAATTTATTTTACTACAAAATCAATATTAAGTTTGTCTTTATTTAACTAATAATCAAAATTTATGGGCTTTGACACAACAAATTCTCCATCACAACAAATTTATCGTACCAACAAAAGTGACACCATATCCACCAACAAGATAAAGATATATAAGAAGAAACTAGTGTAAAAACATGCACTTGGCTCTCCAGTAGTAACTATAATAATGGGTTAAAACTAATCTTGACCATAGTTGCTAATAATATATAACAAGAATAATATTACTCGGTACAATACTAATACTATTAACCACAGTATTCTACACCACTCTACTTCTACCCCATCCGGCATCCGCCACCACATTCAAGTTAAGTGGAACTTAAACGCTTCCTCTTGGCGCTCTTACACGGACGGATGTCGTTGCCCCCATTGTCATCGCAGTCTTCAGGTGGGGCCAAGTCATCTACTTCGACCTCACCGGAGAGCCGCGTCAGCAGCTTCTGTAAAGACTCTTCTGCCCATGCATGGGTGTTGTATAGAACGTGCTTGTCCAGGGAGTAACCGGGCTTGCAGATGTACTCCACCAGGTAATCGACTGAGACACATGGTATCTTGAGTCTCAGAAACTCTTGGACCCACATATCTTGCCGTGGTGTTCCTGGACACACAATGGCAAAGTCGATGTCTGACTTGAGGAAGCGAGCATAAGATGGACAGGTTGCTAAGATGGTTCCATGCCCAGCCTTGACCACACGCTTCAAAGTATCCTAGTTCATTAAAAAACAAGCAGGAATGGAACTCTCATAAAATGGCACACACCTAAACCAAGTACATGTGACACCCATTGAACTTGCAAGGAGCACACAACTGCCACATTTGGTTATGTGAGCACATGAAAGTCTGCTGTTATTTACTTAACTGAAACCAATTAAACTTGTTTCTTGCAAATGTGATTATCTCATATCCCTTACAAGCTAAATGAAATCCTACCTAAAGTTTTTGTAGCTTTAACTAAATATATCATACTCAACTCCATAGTACCACATTATTGGGAAATCACAAAAGTTTGTTTGATATGATGTGACTTTTTTTGGGTACAAGTTGTTAAAAATAAAAGTCTCTTCTTGGGAACAGTGTATGAGACAGTAGTTAAAACTATGGTTTTGGATGGAAGGGTTTAAAAGAATATAAGTAGCCCATCTGCAATCATATAATAGTGGTGTATTATTTCATTCAAATCATTTGTTTTGAATACATTTTCTGAGCCAAGTGTCTTTTGGAAACAGCCTCTCAAGTTTTAGCGGGGGCAAGGTATGCACACACATAACCTCCCTGGAGCCCAATCTTGGGGGATTGTACTAAGTATATTGTAGTTTTCAATACGTTTTGGATACATCTTCAGATGATTTGGCCATTTCATCAATTCCATTCAAAGTTTAAGCAAATGCAGTCCTTTAAGCCAATTTTGTAAGCACAAATCGCATGAAACAAAAAAGATGGTGTTTAATTAACACAAGAAATAGTTAGGTCATACCAATGACGGCCGATTTATCTCTCCATATGTGACGATTCGCATTCCGTAGAATGCACCATGACCAGTTCTCTGCCTTAAGAGTCGCCATGTCCTTGGGGCCTCTAAGCTGATGGCTAGATCTTCAGATAATCCCTTCTTGTGCCATTCATATGGTTCCTCTGCCAAGAACATACCTGCCTCATTGCAAGCAGTTAGATAGTCCACCTTCAATATCCACCTGTAAAGGATGATGAAAAATATTGAGAGCTAGGCCTGTTTTTTTAAAAATTATTCTTAAAAATACAGTAGTGATACCTTCCGGAAGCGGCGGCAGCAAAAAACTTTTCTGTCCTGCGAACAGGATCAGGAAGGATAAAATGTGTTGCTTGATATGACCAGTTGTGAGAATCTCTGCATGATCTCCCTTTCAAACGTTTGATTACTTGTTGAAACTCCTTCTTCTGTAGCTTATGCCCGGAAACTATAAAATACCGGTTCTCAGTTGTTTCTACTCCTTTATTAGGCTCTTTGCATGTCTCTGGGGTCACTTTTCCAATTTTGTGGTCCTTGTTACTCTCAGATAATCCCCTGTTAACTTCTCCTTTGTCTTCTATGTCTTTAGACTTACAAGACTTTTTATGAGACTCATGCATCTCACAATTCGCATTTGATATGTTTTCTTTTTCAGCTTCCATGGAGTTGTTTACTTGTTTGCCTTTTCCTTTCATACTATTTTTGGTCGTGATTCTTTTCTTCTGAGCACCTTCTTTAGATTGTGAGACTTGTGTAGCACGTGGAATAACTTCCTTATCTTTACTTAATGAGCGTTTCTTACCTTTCGGCTGTTTCTTTACATATGTCGCATCAGGGTTCAAATCAGCCTTATCAACCATGGTTTCAAGATCGCAATTTTCTACAGGATGGAAATCTGTATTGAGCATGCTACCTTCTTCTTCCTCTGCTGAATGTGGTGATTCAAAATCAAAGGCCTTAACACAAGAAGGGACACCATCATTTAACTCATCTTCAGTGTCATCTGGAGCTTCAGTTGCATCAAACACGTGTCGAGTTTTTTTGGCTTCTGAATCTAAAGATTTACTTTTACCAGATTCTTTGATGCTGTCTCCATTGTGCATGGAAGCAACATCAGCCTTCTCAGAATTTAAATCGTCCTTGCCTTTTATCTCTTCGCCTCCGGTTGAACAGACAGCAGACTCTCCATTCTTGTTCAGGTAAATAGAACCCTTCTGATTACTAGCATGGCCTTTACCAAAAGCCTGTTTGGATTTCTCTGTCTTCATAGAAAGGCATCTTTTCTTATGCTTTCTGGGCTGAGATTCTGTGTTTCCTTCAAGCAGTTGAACACCAGCTAACTCGTTAAGGTTTTCAGTCTTTGCTCTGCTTCCAGGCGATGTTAGTTTGAATCCTTGCAGCTCCTTTTGTTTCACTTCAACATCGGCACTGACATCTTCCATAGTTTCAGGCAACCCAGTCTCAAGTGCTTCCTTACAGCAAAGTTCTCTGGCACCATCTGGAGTAGGAATGTTGAAGATCTTAACAGGAGACCTATTTGTAGATTCTAATCCGTTCTTTGCATAAGAAACAGCCTCTAACACTTCAGCTCCACTTGCAATCAATGCACCATCTCTCCTTGTCCCTTGGGTATGTGTTTTCCTTTGCTTCTTTGAACTACTAGATGGAGTGGTCAACATTCTTTTCTCTGATGATATATAACTTTGCTCATTTCCAAAAGGTGATGCTGCTTTAGTATGAGAATCTGCACCAGCAGTATGTAATCCATCACATTCTAAATCTAATAATGATATTAAGTTTTGACCCTTGTCGTGTCTTCCTGCATTGACAGTAAGAGGAGTTCCTCCATTGCCTTTCTCTTCTTCCATAACGAGACTGTTTTTCATCCCGCTTTTCCGGGAATAACTTTTTTTAAACACACCAGAATTTTGCTCGGTACAAGTAGCACCATATGCTAAGACATTATCATTTAGTGGAAGGTCAGGGAGTTTGTCACTACAAGCTGCCATTTCAGCTTGAGCATGTTTTGGTCCCTTTCCGGCAGATGATGATACTTTGTTGAAGTGTTGATCTGATAGAGCTCTAGATGCACACAAATTTAAGTCTTCAGAGAGATCTTGCTTCTTGAAAGATTGCAAAAGATTTTTTGCATCTTGTGGAGATCTAGAAATTTTGGAATTGGTCACATTTAAAGAGTCCGGCTTCAAAAGGGATTGATTGGCACTTCTAGAGTTGTGCGAAGAAGTAACCATTTTTCTCTCCCCATTTGATTGTGCAGGAATGTCATCTCGCCCTTCTTCTGAGTCCTTAACTTCAGCTTCCATCATCTCCAAATCATACCCGCTATGAAGATGGGGAGAAGTGTTGAAAATGTCAGCATTTTATTGATTTGCCTTTCATAGAAAAGATTGATATTTTTTTAAACGAAAAGGGCATGAAACTTCATATTCAAGTGTAAAAACATCAAGATCTGACAACAACAATAACAACAACGGAGTAGAATCTGACGAGCATAGCGTGGGGTCTGGGAACATCAAGATCAGAATGAACATGTAATGGCACCTATGGTAGAACCTTGGAAACTCCAAGCTTCTCATTGAGTAAAAAACACACAAGCAATGTCTAAAAGAGATACCTATGATTCCTAAATTACATTTCGAGGACAAATAGAGAGTGAAAGCGTGAAACATTACATCTCACCTCTTATTATAGTCAGTTTCTGGAAGTAGAGCCCAAGACTTTAAACTGCAAAAAAAAAAGAATGGGATATGAGTGACTCTAAATTTGGATAGGTAAGCAATATAGAAGTTTGTATTTTCCAGAAAAGGCAACAGCTGCTGATGAAATCCTAATTTCATGTACAAACAGAATCATGGAAAACAAGAAACAGAGATGTACCAATCTTCCAACCACCGATGGTTGACTATCTTTATATTTGACACTTTCTTAGCAGTACGATACTTTTCTCCTGTTAAATTGAAAACAATGCAAATGACATCTCATGATATATGATCGTAAAAATTCAAAATTTGAACAAAAAGAAAAAAAAGAGAAACATAGCCCTACATACACTATTGTGTAACGTGATGAAAGTGTTGGTTAAGCGACTTCATTTGATTGTTTGATGTATATCAATGCATTGTGGTGGGTGCAAAGATTTTGTTGTTAATGTATGTAAGCAACATTTACAGAAGAAGGCACATAAGAATTGATGACAAATTCCCTTTAGAAGATCTGATAGTAATCACTCATGTTTATGAGGAGAAAGATGGAGAGAGAGAAAGAGGAGCATACCCTCAAATTTGTAGCATACAAGATGAGTAGCCGTGGCTGTAATCAATGACCTCGAAAAAGTGGCACCCATCAACCCAACCATGATCTACAAAATATGAAAATATCAAATAGTAAGATCACATTTACAAAAGTAATAAGCAAACACTCTATTGTTCATTTATTCTTGATCCCAACAAATGCATATCCACAATTTATTATTTTGTCAAATGTAGATTAGCCAACCGTAATATCGTCCCGAATTTCACCAGTATATCCAGTTAGGCAAATAACCAGAGATTTGGCACCAGTAATGCCATTCAAGTCCCTCAAGGGGCGATACAAAATCTGTTCACAACAATAGTATCGTTAGGCGAAGAATGTTAATCAATCACCAATCTTTATTTGAAATTATAATTGCCCCTAGAAGGCGAGTATGGACATTGAGTAATACACTTACAGAATTATGATCAACTGGCATTCCCACTTCACAACAATGATCAACCCACAAGCTAGTCACTACCACTTTCCCATCCCTTCGAGCAGAAACGCATATTGGGTCATCCTGCTCATTCATTCACACACAATATGCCACATTCGCATTTCAAACATTCAACTAAAATTCATAAAATCATCACAGGAAAACCCAGTAAATAATACGGCAGCCAATTAAAGAATTGTCCTCACTCACATACACAACTTTGTCAACAATCACATGAGTGCAATCAGGGCAATACCGTCTGGCATCCACTCCACCACCATTTAAGAGCGCCGAAAGAACCTGAAAACACAAGAATCGAAGGGCAAAAACTGAAACCTTAATGAAGTGGGACGGAAGCCGAATAAGGGCATAATCAATTAAAAGTCATGAACATAAACCTGTTCTTTCCTGACGGGATCGAACCCGCAGAGAACGAAACGAACGGCCAAGAATGGTTTGGATTGTTCTCCGTGCATTACTTCCGCCGGCTCACTCTCGTCCATCGTCGTCAGTTGCAGTAATTTCCGATGAAACGAAGAGAAAAACTGGGATGCGCTCGACGAGGCTTGAATTGATCGATACAGAGAGCGTTTATCGAAGAACGAAAGGGGTCGCGCTAGTAGGAGGAGAGTTTCTCAGACTGCCGCTGAAGGCTTCTCGAAGAAGCTGGGAAGAAAATGGGAGAGGGGGGCAAATCCGAATTTAACAAAATATGTGAAGGAGATTAAAAGGGAGGGATTTCGTATTTTGTTTTCTTTTTGGTGGTTTTTCGATTTGATTTTTGAGGGAACTGGCGGGAGTCGGGACTTTTTCAATTTTTTTTTTGGATTAGTCACCTTGACACGTGTCCCGTGCTCGGCGTTTCATTTTTTTTATTTTTGGGCATGGAAGAAGCCCTTCACACTTTTGTTCCAAATGCCAAATACTCTTTTTGTTCCAGACTACTCCGTGATAAAAAAAATGAACTTATTTTTAAACAACAGAGGATGATAATAAAAGGTAGAGAATTAACATACACATTATGTTAATTTCACTATGAAGACAACCCTTCATACTAATATACACACATTATGTCTTTGTCAGCAAAAATGTGTATGTGTAAACTCTTAACAAACACACAGTGCTTGTGTGAGCACTCTCTAACAAAAACGCATGATGATTGATTGTGTCACCAAAAAAATCGTGTGTGAGCTTCTAATATCCGCGTAAAGACATCTGACCGACGATGAGTCATACACAAAAACTCATACACCATCACACAAATTGATCTATGTATGAGAAGTTGTTAGTGACAACATCTTTTGCAAGCGATGTTTAATGCACAAAATAAGACCGTTGGCTAAATACCATATAGGATTAAGAATATCTGAGATATTCTTGTTTGAAAAAAGAATATAATTATGGGTCTTAGAATTAATTAGCTTGTTAACCAAGTTCAATTAATACTATATGTATCATAGCCAGACTTTGGATTTTAATATGAGAGTCATATGAGATTTATATGAGAGTTATTGTATTAGATTTTGAACTATATTTTCCTAAAATAATAAAAGCTAGTTCTCATAACAGTGTGTTCTACGAAGTTATCTATAAAGACTATGAACATAATTATCTAATTGTAGTTGAGAGTTTTTGTGTTGAGGACATGATACTATTGCACCAATATATTAACATCTTGCAGAGACTAAGGGGGATGTATTCATTGCGGATTATCTAAGATTTTTCTAGCTTTAAAAAGTTGAAGGAATTAAAAATCCATAGATTCCGTACAAAGTTTGACCTGCTTTTTAATTGATTTATTTGGAAGTCTGAAAGTCTGCATCACAATCCCTTTCATCATCGAAGGAGGCTAAAGAGCGGCGATAAGCTAGTGAAGGAACGCTTCAGAGATCACTGAATAATCTGAAATCATTCGTCAGAATCAAATATGGCTTCACCATCACCAGATCCTATGGACGATGGCAGCTTTAGAGCACGAGTTCACAAAGTTTTCAGCTCGCTATCTTCGTCACTGTTGCCAATCTCGGCGGTGTCGAAGCCGCTGTGGCCTCTCACAGACGACGAGGTGGAGAAGCGAGATTGGAATCGAAGTAAATCAAAACTCGGTCAAGACGACGACAACACCATCTGTTCCTCATCGTTAGATGGTTTGGGATTTTAAGAGCTTAAGATACCGAAAAATATTGAGAACACCAGAAAAATGAGAGAACAAACACAAGAAGAAAATATGAGAGAAAAAATTATATTTCCACTATTTCAGGACAATATACAAAAAAACTCTCCCCTGTTTACAAGACTAAATTTTAGACACTCATAAACAGATCTTTCCACATCCTATGCCCGGATGTATTTTTCCGAGTAACAAAAACCAGTACTCCCTACACTCACCCACACTCACCAAGACCCCTTGGAATTTCCCGGTGGTATTCTTGTGTAAAATTCCTCTTTTTCTCTCTACCTTGGTAGTGTGTAAAACCCACACACATTCATTGCACAATACCCCATGTTTTATAGCCAAACATGAATCATGCAATCCATGTTCCTTCTATTTTTTTCCTTTCTTTTGAATATTTAATCAAATTCCCAACAAAGGGTTCGGTGACATCGATTGTGTCACTAGCGACGACGACAGTGTTGCCGCTCCACAAATACGAGAAGATAAGTCCTGGTTACGTGAAATGTGGATTAGTCGGAAAAGAGGAGAAGTCTGCAAAATCTCAAAATCCCTGGGATGTTGGTCGGATTTGGAGCATGGATTTGTGGGCATGAAAATCCATTAAAATCTACATTATGAAAAATCTTTAAAAATCTATCAACTTTTGAATATCATCATATTTAGAAGGATTTGTATCCAGATTCTAAATGACTTTTTCAATTCTGAATTGAATATCTACAGATTTTTGAAATACAAAAAAATCCATCAAAATTCTAATTGAATACACCCCCTAAGTCTATGGTGTGATAAAGAGGAGTCTTTAGTATACCAACATATCAATTGTTATTTTGTTAGATTTGCTTGAAAATATTATACTTTTAGTTTTAGAGTATTCGTTTCATTTGACTCTTTCCGATTAAATTTGATCAAAATTAATCATCAATGACATTCATTTCTGATAGTTTCCCACCAGTTAAGTTTAATAAAATCACTTTTATACTAATATTTAAATTTGTGTGTATTTAATGATAAAAAATTATCTAATTTGATTGATAAGTCAATCTAAACGAATATTCTAGAACAAAAGTAGTAGTAATTGCAGAGTACAACACAAGCTTGACTCTTAAAGAAAAACTTAAGAGTACAGAAAAAACTTTTTAAACAAATGACTAAATAAAATATAAAGTGCTTGAGTCCATACATCAAATACCATCAATGGAAGCTTAAGTAGTTGGTACACACACAGTCTCCTTTATCAAATGAGTAAATGTAGAGGGAGATGCCAAAATTTGACCATGTGAATACCAAACACGAAATTCTTTTTGAACTCATTTTGTTTTAAATAACAAGTTTTACAATGTGTTATCCCAAATACAGTGAAATAACCTTCTACTAAAAAAACTAAAACAAAGGAAACACAAACTAGAAATATACAGTTCCAACTACTTCCAAGTATTTTACAAACATGTCCATACAAAGAGGTACAAGAGAAGTTAACAAATTGACAAGAAACACAGCTAACCAAATTACAATATTAACCATTACTACAATTAGTAGTAGATTAGAAAACTTTCTATCTTAACACACAGGTTTTGTATCTACTTATACAGATACACAAAGTTGTTTTTTTTTGCTTTCTTGTCCTCCAATTTTCATATAACTCTTGTATCTATGATGATTATATGTGTAAAGCCCTCAAGGTGTGTCCTAACTGAGCTAACTATGATTCTCCAGCAATCAAATGAATAAAGAATGGCCTTACCATATTCTAGATGGCAGCAATATGCCTGAGTGCCCTTAATAACAGCAGCGGTGCAGGGATCAAAAACACCAGAAGCACATTAATCCACCGGGATGCCACTAATGTCAGCCGCTTCATAGACTCTTTCCCCCCATGGAAGATTCCCCCTATGGCGTATTGAGCAGGGCCCACCAGCTTTCCGAGTACAATGCCGCCATGAAAAATCCCAGCTGGCCACCACATTTTGTGCCTGAGATTTCTCCTTGCTCTCCTAATGCGTCTGAGCTCTTTCCGGATAACGGTCCGGATGGATTTCCGGTACGAATGCATGTCGTGGTCTCTCTGTACGGTCCCCCCGGACCCATATGCTGAACGGTCACTCAGTATCTCTAGTGGGTGTGGGGAGTTGAGGAACGCGGTCTTTGCAGCTTGGATTTGCTTCTCAGCCTCTCCATTAATAGGGCAACTTAATATATACAGTCCAGGTCCTGAAGGAAGTAGGGGATGGCTTGGAGAGAAGTTATCATCTGGCTGCAGAATCAAGAGCTCCCCCATGGAAGCATATAATAGCTTCTGTTGATAAGAAACCAACAAAATAAAGATTTACTACATTTGTCTAATTAACTTGGGTTTAAACTATATGAACATGAAGGAAACATGTTTACTTGGTCGTTTAGACATGGATGGTTCCGGAAGCTTCCATTCACGGCTTTAAGAAACTCTGCAACACGATGGGGGTAAGTGCAAGAAAAGGCTCGGGGCACAATGTCTCGGTGCATCATGATTGACTGGACGTGACTCTGAGGCAATCCGAGCTTCTGGAGGAGGCGGTCCCCTCCACACATAATATTTGGCGAACCAAAAGTTATAATGGGGAGCAAAGAAGAACGGGGAGCATCTCCTCGCATTAGGAGCATGAGATTTATAAGTAAAGATAGACTGCCTCCAAGAGAGTGCCCGGTGAAACGGAATGAGGCACGGGGACCATAGGATTTGAGGTGTGCTCTCACTTCGGGCAACATTTGCGCATACATTCCTTTTGCAGCCTCATATATACCTCTATGCACAACAATATCCATACCCTGAACATGAAAAGATACATCATAAGGGCAATAGACTTTCCAAGGGGAGTCCATAGAGTTGGATAAAATCTATAGAGGCTAGTGAAAGCTGCATTTTCCGAAAAGAAAAGCATATTTACAAGTTTACAAAATACTTATTGGGATTATGATCATTATAATAAGCCAGAATTTGTAGCGAAATAGAACATTAGACTCCAGCATGCCATTTTTTCTGAGAAATGCTTTCATGGTTTTTCAAGTTTTAGGCTAAGGAAAACAAGTTCTGTTTTCCACAGCAAATAACTTGTTTTCCACGAAAGCATCTACCACGGCAACTGCTACTTATTTTCATTTCAAAGCAACCAAACGTGGCCTTAAATACCTCAAACTGTGTTGGTTCGAACAGAAGATTGGCTTGCCAAGATGCCAGTGACTCAGATCCCTGGATGGCAAAGAATCTTGTACCACTCTTATCATCATCACAAACAAACCATTCACATGGAGACAACCGTGTTGAGCTCAGATCATCAGCAACAGCCTGCTTTACCTCCTCCCTTGCAGCAACCACGGATGTAACCGAGTCGGTGGTGGCCATTA